GTATTCTAATATGAAATGGAGACCTTTTTAAAAGTTTAAAAACTCGTCCAATTTTATGTCTTACAGAGCTAATACTGAGTTCAATATTGTATAACTGTATTAATTCAACTGTCAACCTAGAAACTTGCACCCACTTGTGAAAGAGATGTACCGCTGCTTTGGAGTGTGTTATTGAATATTTTAAAGCTGTAGTGAAAAGTTTCTAATCATGTAGTTATTAAAAATTTTTTAAAGTATAATGATTAAAAAAATAATCTTCAAAGCATAAAAATCTGCTCCTTAATAATTAGTAGATGTGACAAACATCATTGAAATCTACCTGATGACTTTATATCCATGCCCAGATGCCAAGGAGCTCAGAAAGTAACTGACTGTGACTAGTAATGATCTGATATATAGAGATTAGAAACGCATGTGCAAACACCTTAATATCAATAGCATTAAAAATGAAGTTTCTGCATGAAACTCTGTATTTTAATAATGAAATGGAGATCTTTTTTAAAGGTTAAAACCTCATTTAATTTTATGTCTTATAGGTTTTATACTGAGTACAATATTGTATAACCATATTAATTCAACTGTAAACCTAAAATTTTACAGCCAATTTTATTGAAAGCTTGGAATGCAGGGACACTCTGTCTCAAAAAGACCAAAATTAAATATAAATAAATAAATAAATAAAACCTTAAAAAAAAAAAAAAAAAAGAAAAGAAAAAAATCCAGGAAAAACTAAGGCATTGCCTGTTCATTTTCGAGTATAATGAATTTCCCAAAAGTGTTAGGGGAAAATGTATGAAGAAAAACAGTACAAATTTCTGTGGCTCTGTTGTGGGAACACTGCATGATGTCTGCTAGGCCACACCTATGTAGGGAGACCATTTTACTACTTTGACTACACTGCTCACATTGTTCCCCTCCCTCCACATGCAAATCAGTTGGCCAGGGTCTGCCCGAGTGGATGGCTTTCCACAGACTGGACCCAGAGGCAGAGTCAATTTTGAGGCCACTGTACTCCTCTCCTGCCAAGTCCCTTTGAATGCCCTCCTAATGCTGCTGCCACAACCCAGAGGACAGGCAAAACTGCTATGGCTCTTCAATCCTCGGACTTTGGAGAGAAACAGGGTGATGTGAAAAAACACAGTTTTCCAAAAAGGCTCAAGGGGCAAGGCAGTAGGGCCACTGCTCAACAAGGTGAAATATTAATAGCAGCCCCATGTTTTCAGCACTTCCTGTATGAAGGCTAATCATACTGTCTGCAGTGTTGGGGTTTAAACCTAGGATCCAAAGCACGCTAAGCAAGCGCTCCACCACTGAGCCACACTCCAGCCCAGGTATCTTTCATTCTGAGTGTGGATTATTCTTCAATTACAGCCGTGGTTGTGGCTTCATCAGTTCAGCATCCCTGATCCTAATTCTAATGAGTCTCAAACTAGCCTTTCCCACTGAGCCCCTCAAGTTCAGTCTAATTCTTGCCAAGAAAGCAGCCAGCACACAACCAGTACGGCCAGCTCCCAGGACATGTACATCACAGAGGCAGGACATGATAGACACATCATCCCCCAAGCTCCAGAAATAAAAACACTACAGAAGTTACTTTGACATCTACTTAAACTTTAATTTTCATATCTAATTATTCTGAAACAACATATCAAGAAGCTTTATTATCTTATTATATGAAGCAATCATAAGTCCCTCCCACAATCACAGTTTCTAAGTAAGTTCAAAACTGCGTAAGATCTTATATGGTTTGACTACCTGTGATCCTCAAAATTCTTTCCCTCTGTGGAGCCCATACCAGAAGGCTTAATGGATAATGTGGGCACACCACCCATCAAAACTTCCTTCCTTGGCCTGCAGGCTCCTAAGCCTCCTCTACCTAGGCACTCACCTTCAAATACTTACCTGCCAGTATGTTCTCCCCATGTAGATTACAACCTCTTGAAACTGGAACTAGTCCTTATGGGTGTGTTGCCCCTAGAACCTACCTTCAAGGCTCACACAAAACAATAACTAATCATGTTTATATTATATGCTGAACATCACTGTGAACTCAACACAGGAACTCTAGGGTAGCTTAAATGATAAAAGCATCAACCCAAAATATCAGACCAGAGTGACCACAGTCATCCTTATGATCTTTAGGCTCACGGTGAGATGGAGGGCTGCAGAGGATCGAAGCTTCCAGAACCATGCATGAAGAGATCCCACTCCCTTCAGAAGCTTCTCTCTCCCTGCCCCCTGGCACATGCTTACATATCCCAAAATGGTTTATGCAGCACATGTTATGAGAGAAGTACTGCTTGATTTGGAACACAGTTTAGAGACACAGGACAGTACTCTGTGCTCTTTTAGAGCATCCACCCTACAAAACAGTGCTTTCCTGCTGTCGGGGGCATGGACAGTCTCTGCTGGACTGGCATACCAGCTTCCAGGCACTCATTTACAGGAGCTGGGGGACTCACCATCAGATGTATGAAGGAGCTTGTGACTTTTCAGTGTTCCTTTAGATTTGAATTTCTTGCCACACATGTCACATAGATGGGTCTTCTCGGTGCTGTGGCGATTCATATGAGCCTTGAGGTTGCTCTTGCTACGAGTTGCATATTCACATAAAGAACATTTGAAGGGCTTCACACCTACCAGGGAGGAAAATGTATACATATATTTATACACATATGTGCATATGCATGTGGGGATCCAGAGGAACAGACAGTATCGTGTAAAATATCCACCTGAACAAAGCAGTGCACTTGCTCAGCCCAAATATGCCCCACCCTTTCCGTGCCAGGCCCATCTCTTTGTTCCACCCCACAGGGATAGCAGGGCCAGTCAAGGTCCTCCATCCTATGGCTTCTGACTTTCCTGGGTGCCCATCATCACTCCCCAAGTTTGTATCTCTCTACTACTGCAACACTCTTGCACATTACAGGAAGTTGCTCACCTCTGCCCCTCCCTAGAATCTGGGAACTCCTTGAAGACAGGCACCCTGCTCAACTTACAAAGTAGTCATTAAATTCAACTGAACTGAGTTGAACTAAATAAATTAAAGCCTCCAACGGTCACTGCAAAAATCAATGGGGTCAGGCACTCAGGATCAAGTGTGAAAACATTTCATTTCATAAAATAAACAGAGCCATAAAACACTGGTTGTTGTTGTGGGGCTAACAACTCACACCCTGCAGTAGTGTCTTGGCATTGAACTATTCTCAAGACTGCTAACTTAAAGGTCTCTCACTTTTACCCACCAAGAGCCAGTATTTAGAACAGCCATAGCAGTACATCCCAAAGCTATTTCTTGACCACTATGATGGTTTGAATGAGAATGTCCCCCACAGGCTCCAAGTATTTGGATATTTTGTCCCCAGTTGGTGATGCTTTTTTTGGAGGTCTTAGAGGTGTGGCCATGCTGGAGGAAACACTACACCAGCTGCATGCAGTGCATGGTGGTGGGCCACCATAAGCCAACACCCAGAGTAAGACATGGGCTTCCCTATTCTCAGGATATGGGTTTTCCTATAAGGAAAGTATGGTGGTCTATTTCACTACAATTACAACCAGACCTAGGAAGAGGTACGACCTCCATCCACCATAAATGCAACTAAAGAAGTCATGGTTTAGTTCTCTGATCTTAGCTGGTTGGTGGACACATCTCTATGTCAACAAGAAATCCTAACTACAGGAGACAGAAGCCTATTAGAAGATAGGCTCCTCCTAATGTATTCCCAGAATAAACCATCCAAGCACACAATTAAAAAGATGCTCCCGGTAGAAAGATAACTACTCACCCTCATGAGCCCAGATATGACGCTGAAGGTCTGAGCCATTCTTCATGAAATAGAAATCACAGTATGGGCATTTCATGGCTCGCTTTCCAATTAGCCCTTTGAGCTGTACCCTTCTCCCAAGAACCTCAGAAATGGTGCTCATGGAGACCTCTGGCAGAAAAGCAGGGTGGCAATCAGAGGAGGCGAAGGTACTCTGCTCAGGCTGGGAGCACATAAGCCTTGAGAAGACAGCTGCAGATCTTGGGAGACAACCAGGATGCGTCTCACAGTGTCATGAGACAGCATGACAGTTAAACCTAAATCTGATCGTGTTGTAGATCTAAATACCTGTTAACAATGTGCAGAATACAGAAAAGCTACAAGGCAATAACCAGACAAATGTGCAACATGGGACTTTCTATCAAGAGTGACTCAGTTTCTCCCAGAAGACAGTGGTATGGAGAAAAGACAGAGGCCTGAGGGACTGTAAGGAACAGGGAACGCAGTGGTATAATCACTAAATAACAATACTGCACCTCAATTCAAACAAGCCAACTGTCAAAACAAACAAACAAAAAAAACAGAAAAACTTGGCTAACTGGGGCAATTTTAAATGGGCATATACTAGGCAGCAATAGGAATCAGTGTTAGCACTGTTTCTTATAGGTAATGCATGTAAGAGAGTACGAAATCAGAACCACAGAAGCTGGGCTGTGGATGCACGGGGCTCCATGCTTGTCTGTGTGTTTGGGGTTTTCCATAATAAAAAAGTTTAAATAATGACAAAGGAATGCTTTTCACCTCTTCGCGGGCAAAGGCAGGTGGTTTTAAATGCTGTCTTCAGCTCACACTGGACCACCAGTCACTTAGGACACAGGACAGCACAGGAAGAATGGAACAGGGTCTTTCAGTAAATCACAAAACCATGGGTTCCCACACTGACGAAGGCTCAAGACTCGGTGTACTCTCTGTCACACTGACAAAGTCTCAAGGCTCGGCGTACTCTCTGAAGGAGCTGTCCACACTGCTGTATTTTCCTTCACGTTCACTGCTAATAGCCAGTGAGTCAATTCCCTTACATTAGGACAGACACAAAATTTTTAAAAAGGCAGGGACAAAGAGAAAACTGCATGCAGCTTACTGCTCATTGACATAACACGGAATGCTCATGTCCGCTCTGCCTGGCCCACCTCGAAGATCCCGTGGTGGCAAAAATGACTGGGGCTGGAGAGCAAGTGGTCAGCGTGCCACAGTGTGTGGCAGGCCAAGTTAGCCACAGTGCTTCTCCAAGGGTACAGTACTTTAAATACTGAATTCATTCATGTCTTCCTGCCTCATTCCTGCATGGTGCTGCTGACATACAGTGCTGTATTTTAAAATAAACATAAGCAATTTAAAATTCATTTTCTATTTTAAAATCCGTAGCCTTACCGGGATGATTGGTCTTGATATGTGACTTTATCAATCGATCTTCTGAGAAAGATTTTTCACACACTGGACAAGAATAACTCCTTTTGTCCTTAATAGAAAGAAAAAAATAATTGATTGACTATCTTAAGTCTAAGTTCTATAGGAAAGTAATTACTATCACCACCACAGTCACCATCATCACCACCATCATCATTATCACCACCATCACTACCACCACTGAAACTACCAAAACTACCACCACCACTATCCTTACTACCATTATCATCACCACTACTACCACTCCCGCTGAAACTATCAATACCACTATCAAACACCATCACCACTATCATCATCACCACCACCAAGACACTACCATCACCACCACTACTATAATACTGTCACCACCACTAACACTATCACTACCACCACCACCACCACCACAATCAGTAGCAACAGCCTCATCCAAACCAGACACACAGTTCCTCCTTCCAAACACTTAATAAACAGCCTCCCCCGAGCCCTATATATCCTGGGGAACTCAACAGTAGAGGATGGAATCAGCCTCGTGAAACTCAGGGGTGAGAGCCCTAGGGAAGTGGGAGAAGGGCAAAGTCACAAAGCCATTGTTCCCACACACAGACGAGGGCTGCACCACACCCAACAGCACATGTCATCCTTACCACTCAAAACATACCTTGCATTGAGCTTTTTCACATGTGACTTGAGACCCACAAGCACTTACAAAAGAAAAGCATTCATGTTCACACTATGAACTGAGGCCCACTGTGATGAGTCTGAAGTCTGAAAGGAAGGGTCAGTGTTGGAAATATACCTGCAGATGGCCAGCCAGGGCGCTTCTGCCTCTCCAAGACCAGGAGTCTGTGATGCAATCAGGGAGTCCATTCTGCTCTGATGCTGGTGTTGGGGTCAGCTCAGGTCCCCACAGTGTCCCACCCTCAACTATGAAGCAGCTCTCTGAAAGACCTGGTAGTAGCTACTGCTTGCCCTTTCTTTTCAGAGCTCACTTCAGAGCTATTCCACATCAAGTTTTCCCAAGAGCTGCAGGTTGAACTGTATCATCCCCAAAATTCATACTTTGGAATACTAACCTCCAGTATACTCAGAATGCGACCTCAATTAGAGACAGGTTCTCTACAGAAGTGATCCAGATAAGATGAGGTAACTAGGATGGATGCTAAGTCAGTATGATGGATGCCCTTATAAGGGGGAATCTGTACACAGATACACAGGGAGAACTGCAGGCGAAGATGAAGGCAAAAGTGAGGGTGATGCATCTACAAGACAAGGAATGCTAAAGAATGCCGACAAATCACCAGAGCCAAGAAAGAGGCCTGCAGCAGGGTACCCCTCACAGCCCTAAGAGTTGGAAGTAGGCCTGCCTGCCGAGAAACCGATCTCAGTCTTCCAGTCTGCAGACCTCGGATGGAATCACGATTGGCAAGACAATGTCATGTGTTATGTGTTCTGGAGGACTCTGGCATAGTCCATGTGCCATGGAATACACAGGAGGACTCATTTCCACCCAGGAGCTCAGCATCACAGCAAGCGCCCCACGTTCAGGTAACTGAATGCAGTCTTTAGAGCGCACCCACACTTCCACGTAGTAACAGCAAAATGTGTACAATCTCTTACAAACTACCTGGATATAAGTGCTTTACGTGCCATACTTCCAGGGATCTTTACAGGTCTGCTCCAGGTCACATGTCCACAGAGAATAGAGCTGGATATCCAAGAGTCTGGCTCTTGACCTCTAGAGTCTTGCCCACAAGAGTGAGACTCAGAACTCAGAGCCCCCAAGTTCAATCCAGGTCTCACTACTTTTTAGTTAGCAAACTCAGTGCAAATGATTTCCTCTTGGAGCCTCACTTCATCATCTATAAACAGTGACTGTCTGCTTTGTAGAGTCACAGGAGAAAGATAACAGGGGGTGCACTGAATGCTCAGACAGCAGCCTGGCCACTCGCCTACATGAGACCCCACTGCCACGGTGTGAGCACTCTTACTGAGAAACTCCACCTGAGGCTCCAGGCCACTGGAGGCTTGCTTATGTGAGCCTGTGGCAGTGGTGGCATTGAATGCGGGCCCCATGTCAGCTCAATTAAACAAGGCCCAAAGGGGAGATGAAAAATAGGTGTCAGGCCCACATTAGATTGAAAACCATTTGAGACTGGTGGGTAAGGGAGAGTATGACTTACATAAGACCACTGGATGGGCTGACTAGACTTCAGTGGACACACTTAAACTGAAGGACATTTGGGTACAAACACCTGAATGAATAGGACTCAGCATATATGGCAGAGTGCATAGGGTTTGGTGGGAGGGAGAATGGGAGAGGCATGGGTTGGGGAGGGCAGTCTGGATTTGAGTGGGAAATGTTTTGTGAAATTCTGAAAGCTTTAAAAAAAAAAAAAAAAGGAAAGAAACTCCACCTGAAACATTGACCTGTCATGAGCTAATGTACCCTAAGAATATCCAAGAGGGGGATCCGGATGAGCATGTCCCAAATTCCTCTGTGGGTCATATCTCCTTGCTAATACAGAATAGCTCCTTAGGGACTGATGTGCCCCAGAGCACACTTAGGAAAAAGAGTGCTTTATATTACAAAGCACAAGTCCCTGTGAAAAGCCTCACAGTCTAACAATATCCTATTGAACACCTGGGACCAAGCCATAATCTGTCAAGTCAGATGTGGACAGCCCAGGCAGCTGGAACAAAAGTGCCATGGACCCCCAGCCAGCCAATTCCAAAAAACTTCCCCAGGTGACATAACCTTGGGCTTCTCAGTGTGCTCCTGCCCCTCTCCTCCCCTGTCCTTGGCCTTAGGCTCACAGTGCCATTCCTCCCACATCCTAGATGAGCTCTCCCAACTCTGCCCTAGCTGCCCTTGTCATTAGAGCTGATGGAGGCATTCAGAGGGCTTTAAAGGCGTTTATACTGAGCTCCCCTGAGTCCTTGCTGTTTGATTTTTCTTCTTTTAATGCCTGATAGTCTGAAAGCAATTTATCTTAGAGCTTATCAAGGGCCCTGTTTCTTGATGCCTTTGAAGATTGTCAGAAGGATGCAGACAGGGATAGAGCGGGGCTGGGAGAAGAGCGGACACTTAGGACTCGTTTATTTCTTTTTTAAAACCTCAGTGTCTTGCCAGAGATGAAACCCAAACACACTTGGCAAACGTAAAGAGAACCATGGTTTAAAGAGCTCCTGGCAAAGGCAGGGGATGCAAGAATGCTAGTCACAGAGTTGGGAAGAGTTTAACCCTTGGAGTCGTCTGCTCCAATAGAGATGCCTTCAAGTCACTGGGGTCCTCAAAAAGAAGGGGGTGTCTGCATGAAACTGCAGCCATGGCATGGGATACAGGAGGAGCACCTGTCTGAGGCTAGGAGCCTAGTTCCCCACTCTAGGGTGACCTCCTCTGGCCTACGCCTCACTGGAAGATGAGTTTATCAGTATTGCTAGGGATCCTGTCAGGTGGCTGAACTGGGTTCCTGTAAAATAAATGTAGAAGGTATTGACCTAAGTGATTCAACTGTTGACCTCCCTGAATGCCAGGTTCACGGTATCGTTTGTTAGGGATGAGATTCCTGGCTTTCTGCTTCTGTCATAACTTGCAGTGGGGTCATGACTCGAAGTGGGCTTTGGGAATCTGCTGATAAGGTTCAGCCACTTGGCAGCACCCGGCAATACTGACCCAGGAGCAGGTAACACTGAAACAAAGACCTCAGAAAGTGACCCTTTCTGTGTGTGGAGGTGAACACTACTGACAGGTTCTATTTCAGTCTGTTCTACTTCTCTAAGATGACTCACTGAACTGTTCTCATATCCTTTTAGTGGATCATGACCCATGCAAAGAATACCGACCTAGGCATTCTGCACCTATTTCCTAATTTAATCCTTACAATCTTGAGAGGTGAAGGAAGTACTTTATCTCCATTTTAAAAGAGAAAACTGATGTTCAAGGGGGCTAAGCAATTTGCCCCAAACTCAAAGATGGATTTGGGATTGAAACTGAGTACATCAAAACTCAAAGCTCCCTTGGATTTGACTAAAATCATGTTTTCTCAAGTCTCCTCTTCACACTTTTAACAATAGTAAAAAAAAAAAAAAAGAAAAGAAAAAAAGAAAGTGTTTCAAAAGGCAACAGCTAAACACCTTTGCAAGGTCCCCAATTTATCTGATGCCAATTCAGTCAGTTCTGTGTACCCATGGCTTCATCACCTGCAGATTCAACCAACCAGGAATCAAAAATACTCAAAAGCCACTCATCATCCCATAAACAAGACAGCTTTAACAACTACTAGCATAGATTACATTGTGCTAAGTATTATAAGTGGCATCGAAAAGACTTAAAGCATACAGGAGCATGTTCACAGGGTATGTGCAATATTATACTGTTGTGATGATTAGTTTTCTAAGGGTCAACTTGCCACAGTCTAGAATCACCTAGAAAGAGGGTCTCAATGAGGGTCTGTCTAGATCATGCTGGCCTGTGGACATGTCTATGGAGGACTGTCTTGATTACTTAGATTGATTTGGGAAGACTCAGCCCACTGAGGACAGCAACAGTTCCCTGGGCTTGGGTCTGGACTGCGAAAGTGGAGAAAGTGAGCTGAGTAGTAAGCATGCAAGCATGTATTCTCTCTCTGCATGTGACTATGGATGTCACTAGCTGTGTCAAGTTCCCAAAGCCTTGACTTCCCAGCAATGATGGACTGCAGCCTGGAACTGGAGCTGAATGAACCCTTTCTCCCATAAAACTGCTTTTGTCAGTATTTTATCACAGCAACAGAAACCAAAACTAAGACCTATACCATTTTATATGGGGGTCTTGAGCATCCTTAGAATTTGGTTATCAAGGAGGTTCTTGGACCAATTCTCCTGGATACCAAGGGATGACCATGCATTCCTTCACTATGAGCCAACACCACAGGCTTAGTGATGAGGTGTGGGAAGAAACCACACTAGATGAGCAGGATACTACCTGTGTCCTTAGCTATGAAACAGTGTCAGAGTCACAGAAACTGGCAAATAATCTAAAGCAACAAGAACGGACCGAGACATACAGACTTATTTGGAGGTGAAGGATTCTCA